CGCGTCCCGGAGGACGGCGGGTCCCTGCGCAGGCCGGTGGGCGCGCCTCTGTCTGAGCCCCTCCCGGGCGGCCGGGCGCGGCACCCTTGAGGCGATGATTGCGGACCCAGAGGAAAACTGGCTGGTTTTCCGTTGGCCCGAGGCCTTCTCAAAGTCGGGGTGTCCCGCTCCCCGGGACGGGTTCCTCGACACCCCGCCAGCCCCGAGCGCCTTACTCTCCTGGGGTGGAATAGGCGGGCTCCAAGTGGAAATGGTGGGACGCTCCATTTCACAGCCCAAATCAACATGAGAGCAGGTTCAACTTTTTTTTTCCTTCTTTTTTAAGTTTTTGCTATTTCGAAAACTGGGGTCATACGAGGTTTTAGAATCTAAAGAATTTGGAAAGGCACCTTGGGAGTGGAAATAATCATAAAGGGCTTGGCAGTTCTGATTGTTGCCAGGGGCCTGGCTTTGTTGCTTACCTGACCAAGTAATAAGTACTGCTTTCCATTTGTTATGAGAATAACTTAAAACTCACGAAAAAATAGTTAAAACGCGGCTTAATTCTGCCAGACTGTCAAACACGGCCTTCAGGCAGCCATACCGCCTCCCAGTGTATCACCCGCATTCGCCCTAACTTTTCACAGTTGTCAGCTCTTCTTCTTCCACCAGTGCTGGTTCCTATGTGGTCTTGGTACCGTATTTCAGTGGCTGTCTTGCAGGATATTAGCTGTGACACTAACTTATGAAATCCTTTCCCAGTTGTTGGAGATACAGTTCTTTTCCAGTTTTTCCCCTCAGTGCTGTACATGAACTTGCTAAAAACATCTTTAAGCTTATAGATGTTTTTCCTGTTGAATTATTTCTGCAGAATAATTTCCACGAGTAACACTATTTTTCCTTTTCAGAAAACTGATTGGGAGGTAGCTATTAAAAGTATTAATAAAAAGAACTTGTCAAAATCACAAATGCTGCTTGGGAAGGAAATTAAGATCTTAAAGGTATGTTTCTTTATGTGATATTTCATACTGAGTGAAAACGTACTTTAAATGAATGCATGACGGCATACTTTGTAATTTTGGTAGTTGGACCCAAGTTTGAGGATTTTCAACTGTTGCTCTTGTTTTTGCAAGTTCAGTTTTTTGAAACATTGAATACTGACTGGGGAGCTATTTTAAAAAAATGGGTGTTTGTCGCTGTTGTCCAATGCTTAGAGGGACTCTGAAAACTCATAATTCTTTTCCTTTCCTGTTTGTTGTGTTGTTTGGGAAAAGGTGGGCCCCTCTTGTACATCATTTACCTCTTCTTTTGATCCTGTTCCCCGTACAGTTAAGTTTGGGGAGAACTGGCTGTACTTGGGATACTACTTTCCTTGTAAATTGAAGAAAGTTTCCCTTAGAAGTGGTCTTTTTAGATCACTCACAAGCAGTGTCATCCAAGTGAGATGCTTTAAGGAAAAAAAAGGTCCTATGGTCAAATAAGTTCTATTTACTAAATACTTCTTGGAGTCTCAGAGCACTTGGCTCATGAAAGAAAGTCTGAAAGTGATGCAGTAAAGGAACCGGTGTAGGTGTATTTCACCCAGTGTTTCCCAGATGAGTATGCACGTGGAACAGTCATCTAATACCAGTTTTCATCAACACTGCTACTCTGTGGACGGCTCTTTGAGCAAAGAATTACACTTTGTTTTCTTTCAAGCAAATAATGTGGGGGTTTTTTGTTTTGTTTTTTTAATCCTCCCCGGAGGGTATGGGCACTGATGTAGAGAGAGAGAGGAAGAGAAAGAAAGAGAAAGAAGAAACAGAACATCTATGTGAAAAAGAAACATTAATCAGTTGCCTCCTGTAGGTGCCCAAACTGGGGATCGAACCCTCAGCCTAGGCTTGTGCCCTGACCGGGAAACGAATCTGCAACCCTTTTTGTGCACAGGCTGATGCTCCAACCGACTGAGCCACCTGGCCAAGCACTTTGGAATTTTATGCCTCTATTGCTGTTAGAAACTGTATATTAAATTTAAAAGATTAGCAGAAAGTCTAGTCATATTTATTCTGACATTTATTTTGTAAATGAGTACTTTGGTAAATACCTTGTTAGGAATCTAAAAAACAATAGTGGTAAAAAAAATATTTAGCCCCAAGTAAATTTTGATGAACATTTCTTATTCTTTAGTAGATTGAATGTTGTACTCTAGTAACAGAACTGTAGTATACTAGAAATAGCATCTGTGTGTACTTAAATTAATTTTTATTTGCATATTGAAATATATTTATTAGAATAAATATAATTCTTAATTTTCTTAACAGGAACTTCAACACGAAAATATTGTAGCACTCTATGATGTTCAGGTACCTTATTTTGGTTTTTTAAAAAAAACTTTTATGTCTATTAATAAGGAACTAATTTTTTTTTATTTCATAGACAGTTAAGTGAATCTTAATATAAACAGAAAATTGCCTATTGAAAATATATATAGCTTGAGTTATATGTTTATTAAGGAATTTTAAATAGCATGGGGTAATAGGATACAACAATGTGCTGCATCAGTAAACTTTTTAGCAAGTGATAATATACTAAAGGAGTAGTGTTGTTTTAAAGGTCAAATAGAGGAATATTGGTACCAGATGTAGCATTTCTGTGATGAGTGTAGAAAGGACTATTGTGGACTAATAAAAAGTTAGAGCTTTTTTCTTATTGCAAAGGCAACATTTGCTAATTGTAGAGATATTAGAAAATAAACTAAGGAAGAAAACTGCATATTTGTATCCCAGACATATCTGTGATTATTTTCCCTGTGGCATAATGTAGATTTGCATTTATTTGGAGTTGGAAAGTCTGGTTTCTAAAGTTATCTTTTAAGGCAACCTTTCTGTATTGTCAAAATTACCTTTGGAAATCCTTTTAAAAAAACCATCTTTGGAGCAAGTTACTATTTTGGGGGCGGACCACCAGAGCAAGTAGTTGACTTACAGTTACAGGCATATTATATTTTAAAATTCCTTCTTTAAATAGGAGAATCACACTTGGCTAGTGTGGTATTGATTCATCCTGTGAGAGCCTCAGGGACCTGAGCCCTGAGGGGACAGCACAGAGAGCTGCTCCCTCCACTCCCACTCCAGAGCGGCTGGGGTGCATGATTTACATCATTTCATTCTTTTGTTTTACTTAGTCTGGATAGTTTAATTTCAGTCAGGTAATGGACATGCTGTGTGATTCTGCTATTATACTGTATTTCTAGCTAAAATCTTTTCTGTATGTACTTGTATTGCTTAGATTCATTCACTTTGTTAGGTTCTGAGTGGTGACCATGTGCCAGGCATTGCTCTAAACTAGGAATAAAGCAGTGAGTAAAACAAAGTCTTTGCTCTCCATGTGTTTAATTTTAGTGGGGTGATAAAAAATAGACTCTTCTAGATGTACCTTTTTCTTTAGTCATTTTTCGTGTAGTCATATCACATGACAAAGTATTTAACTAAACCCATGTTATAAGATGTTTAGGTTTTTCCCATTATAGAAAAGTGCAGAGGGTAATACAAGGTGGGGCAGAAGTAGGTTTACAGTTGTTCATCTGGAAAATAATACAATAATTAATAATAATACACGATTAAACTCTGTTTTGGGTACTCACAACTGTAAACCTACTTTTGCCCCACCCTGTGTATACCTTCTGAACATATCTGAATGTCTTTTAAGTTTAGTTTTTAGAATTGGAATTACCAGGGCAAATAGCATGCGCAGTTTTAAAGTTCTTTGATTGTAGAGTGTGACTGCTCTCCCAACAATTGCAATTTAAACTCTATGCACAGACTGTCTGAGTTCTGTGGGGAGTATTTTATTACCTGTTTAAACTGGTGTAACTCATTCCTTCATTTCAGAAACTGAAATGAAAGCAGCATAAAAACAAGTGGAAAAACCTTTAAAGTCAAAACTAAATTGATCTCACAGTTCCTAGTTGAAATGTCAGTTCTCCTCAGAGCTGTTAGTGTAATTTGTCTTAGTTTCTGTTGACAGAGGGCACCGAGTGGTACAAGTCAGTGCCTAGTACAAAAATTGTTAAATATTAACTCTCAATTTCCCTTTTTTTGGAGATGCACAGAAAATTTAATTGCAGAGTAAGTTTTGCTTTCTGAGAGAGTATACTTAGACTTTGTCTATCAGAATAAAAAAAAGTATATATATTTAAATAAATCTTTATTGATGTCAGAGAGAGGAGGGGGGGAGAGAGAGAGATAGAAACATCAATGATAAGAGAGTTATTGATCGGCTGCCTCTTGCACGCCCCCCACTGGGGATTGAGCCTGCAACCCGGGCATGTGCCCTGACCGGGAATCGAAACGTTATCTCCTGGATCCTAGGTCGATGCTCAACTGCTGAGCCATACCCAGCTGGGCAAAAAATATTTTTAAGTCTTACACTCCTTGGTTGTTGAATGAAATACCATTTTATTAGGGAGGATATGTGCTCAAAAACCTGGATTATCAAACAATCAGGAATTTATAGGTGACTGAAGTTAAAATGTTTATTATTTTGTACATTGTATATTATTGGAACTAATTTATAAAAATAGATAAATATCAGTCAAATGAATATAGTCTTGATCATTTGGCTATCAAGTCAACAGTCTTGATCTAACATTTTAAATTTGCTTCCTTGATTTTAACTATCGAGGGGTGCAGTATGTTTATAGAGACTGGTACATTAACTCTGTCAACTCGAGCATCATACTTACTGGCCATCAGTTTTGGAGATCCATCTAAAGTTTAGGTATACGCTTTTTAAAATTGAGAACTTTTGACATTGTTTATCAAAAATAGGTTTCAGTTTAGATGACACTTAAACACATTTTCCCTAATTACAGAAATACTATATACCCATAGTTAAGTAATTAAACATTGTCAAAATGATTAATTAGAAAAGAAATGGCAATTCCCAGAGATAACCACTGTTTGTTATATTTCTTTTATAGTTTTCTAAATACATACAGAATCTATAGTAATTTATACTTGGGTTTTAAGCTTTTCATTGTGAAGAAATTAGTAGTATTTTTATAGAAATGCAGCTCGTTTTATTAAACTTAATATATTTTGGGTATCTTCTCATATCAGTATAATACTGTGGGGCTAAATTATAATTTATTTACTTAAAACCAGATGTGGCTGTTTGCATTATTTCTTACTGTTTTCCTATTAGAAACAGGAAAGCTGTGTATGTACATCTCCGCTTATTTGTATGAGTGTTTTTATAGAATAAATTCTTTGATGTGGGATTTACTTGGTCAAAGATCCTACCATGTTGCATTCTGTAAGGCTGTACCAATTTATTCTGACCAGTAATTACCTCTGTTTTATTTTTATATTTTGACAGTCTCACAGGAGAAAAATACCCTAGGTTACTGACCATCTTCATGTTTTAATTGCATTTTCATATTTCTTTTTTTTTTTAATTTTTATTTTTATTTAAAGTATTATAGATGTCCCTTTTTCTCCCCATTGACCCATTCCCTCCCCCCGTTCCTTCCCCCTCCCCGGTCACTCTCCCCACCATTGTCCGTGTCTAGTTTTCATATTTCTTTTGTCACTTTCCTGTCGCTGTTCTGTGATGCTTGGGCTGTGTTCATTTTTCCTACTGATTTTTGTGTGGTTAGTATTTCTTGACCAGCTAAGGGAATGTAGAGGAGTATAGTGTGAACAAAGCAGAAACGGGCCTGCCCTTGTGGACTTGCAGTGTACACTGGGGAAGAAAACATGAGGCGAGTAGTGACTGATTCTAAATGCGCGCAGTGCTGCCAGGAGAACTGGAGGAGCGATTTGGAGGAAACATGGGGTTAGGGGAGTAGGGCAACCCACTCTGTGCAGCAGGAGGGGGGACGCCCTGCAGAAGGGATGTGTAAACAGACTTGAGGAAGAGGGGGAGGAGGCCCGGCTTGGTAGGGGATGAAGAGCAAGTTGTAAGCTTAACTTCCCAAGCAGATGATGCCTCTGAAGAGCAGACAGGAGAGATTGGGGTTTGAAGAACTGGAAAAGGTAGGGACATAGAAAAATTTAAAAACTGTGTTTTATGGCAAATAATACCATGAACAGATTGACAGCCATAAAGAGGAACAAACTTGCCCTAACCGTTTCACTCAGTGGTTAGAGTGTTGGCCCAGTCACTGAAGGGTCCTGGTTCGATACCCAGTCAAGGGCACATACCTCGATTGCCGGCTCGATCCTCAGCCCCAGTCGGTGCCTGCGGGAGGCAACCAGTCAATTTTGTCTGTGTCTCTCTTTTTCTTCCCCTTCCACTCTCTCTGAAAAGCAATGGAAAAAGTACCCTCAGATGAGGAGTCTCAAGCATTGTGTTGAGAAAAAGAAGTCAGCTATAGACCGGCAGGAAAGCAAAATATGGGCTGCCTCTTGGTAGCTGAGATTAAGAGCAAAGGGGCATGAGGGAACTTTAAAAAAAAAATAAAATGTTTTTTATTGATTTTAGAAAGAGAGGAAGGGAGAAGGGGAGATGGAGAAACATTGATCAGCTGCCTCCTGCATGCCCCCTACCAGGGATTGAGCCCTCAACCCAGGCATGTGCCCTGACTAGGAATCGAACCTTCCCGTGCATGGCATGACACTCAACCAGCTGAGCCACACCGGCCAAGGTGGAACTTTTTGGGGTGATGGAAATGTTATATGTTTTGATTGAAAGGGTAGTTACGTGGTTGTATACATTTGCTACAACTCATTGTACACTTAAATCTCTGTGTTTTAGCGTATGTAAATTACACCATAATAAAATGCAAAATAAATGTAATTGACAAATAATAGTTTGAGAAAATATTGTTGTGTGTTGTAAACACAGCAGGTAGGCTAATATCTAAAACATACAAATTCCTTTCACAAATTGGTAAGGAAAAGGAAACCCAGAGAGGAAGAGAGTCAAGGATATACAGTGTTGGTTATCATAAGGGATACAATGGCTAATAAGTGTGTGAAATAATATTCATGAATTGCAAATTGTAAATTCAGGGAATTTTAAATTAAAGTAATAGATGTCACGTCTTACCCTCCAATTGGCAAAATTAGAGAATGCAGTGATTCTTAATGGTGGAATTGGGGAGGAGGTGGAAAGTCTCATGTATCACTTGTTAGAAATGTGAATTATTAGAATAATTTTGGAATGCTGTCTGGTGATATTTTGCTGCCATATCCTGAAGAATATTCCTGTTACTCCTCTGCTCAGACCGCTGCAGGGGCTCCCCATTTCTGTGAATAGAAGCCAAACCCTATTATCTTCAACTCAATCTCCTCTGCGCCTTGCTCTTCTGCTCCATCCATACTGGAAACGAGTAAATGTTCTTAGTAAGGGAATGAAT